TGGTAGGGGCAGGCTGGGACGCGGACGGGGCTTCCCGCTCGGGGAGGTTCGCCTGGAAGCGGGCGAACTGAGCGCTCACTAGAGGTCCACCCGGGCAGAGATCCCCCATTACCCGGGCAAGCTTAAGTTTTTAACCCAACCGAGGGGTCCGCAGGTACCTCGGCTTGGAGTGCGCTCGAGACTGAACTTCCCATCAGCCATGCATCCCCTGGCCACGCACCAGAACACGGGATTCGGGGAATTTTTTAAACCCTATACCAACCCGTCTGGCCAGCGTGGTATATGTAGGCTAAAACCTCCATTGTAAGGAGAGGCCTATGTCCAGTAGTGGACTGTTAAGGGCTGTTGATGATGATGATGACTTACAAATTTTCGCGAAAATCTACGTAAAATGTGGGTAGGTACGGAACCCTCGGCGCACGAGTTCGACTCTTTCCTGACCGGTTTTTTCATACATATACATACATACATTATGAATGCAATGATAATATTTTTATTGATATTTAAGTAATACCAAGGAGTTATACAGCCGGCAATGTTCGAGCATCGACTTTGTCGTCTTTTGTTCTTTCAAGAACTGCCGTTTCTAAGACAGGACGTTCTATGCACGAATTTTGCTAGTTTAATTAGATCAGGAACTTTACCTACCTAGCTTACAACTTACCAGCGAGGTTGGTACATCATATTTTTTGATTCTATACTCGAGAAGCCGCCGCGCGACTCTAATACTACTGATAGATCGCTAAAATATACGTTTACCTACATATAAGTTGAAATTTTAAACCTTAATACCTAATTCCTAAAACCTCAATCTATGTAAAGTATATTACTTCGGGGACATAGGGCATGACACTGCACGTGTCAGTATTTTAGCACTCCTTAGCGACCTACGGTAATGGTTTTATAAAAACGTTACTAAATAATAACTTGCTGTTCATTGATATTTATGATGTGACACTGTAGGGAGTTGGTGTAATATCATGCGTGCCAACAATGTTTCTTAAAATGTGTTTTGTGTGTTAGATAAAGGGCTACGGGGAAAAATATAACGTGGCAATAATTATTGAATACAAGTTAACGATGTTAAAGCTTCCCTTGGTGCTTTAACTGAATATCATATAATAAGGAAATAATGTAAAGAATATTAGAGTATATGTGCTCTAAGCTTAGAAATAAATACTACTTCTAAGATTTCACTCAGGAGTCTAAACAAGACCTCGTACTCTTTGCTGTGTTCTCTCTTTTTTCAACAGGCGATCTAGGTCTGTCGCGGTTCTTAGGGAATTTAGGTTATTGACGCCCTGCATTAGACTGATCTGTGACGAAATCGATCTGCATCATCAACTCCTATGAGGTAATTACCCAGGGGGTTACAGCAGCGCTAAAACAAAGATCCAGTAGTAATGAGATACAAAGCACGTTCGGAGGTTGTCTGTTAAGCAAATCGTTCGTTAGGACGGTTACTTTTTCCTTCGCCGTCTGACGAAATTTTGTTACGAATTAGATCACCCTTAACGACTTGTGACTTATGCGGCTCCCTACTTATCTTTCCAAGAGTAAAGGTAAGTAGTCTGCGATTTTATAAAAAATCGTCGAGGTCTTTATCACCAGATAGGTAGACAGAAGCGTATTAAACACTTACATTTTGTTGATTATAATTTTAGTTCTATTTACGTAATAGGGGGCCTGTTTCTTCGTCAACTGGGGCCCGAGACACCCCACCGGTGGGTGGTACCCAAAGGGATTTTTTCTTGTACGCATAGATCTATCCTATCCAAGAATCCTAGAATTTCAAAGATTTATAATGTGAAGTCGTGAAATCATGTTTTTTGTGCGGTTAAATTGAAAACGCTAGCTTAAACTTACGAGGTAGATCAAATACTACTACGGAATTGTATATCTTAAAAATATCTAAAAAAAAGTCTATCTCCTAATATTATATACACATATACCATCGCGACTTTTTTTAACCTAGATTTTTTTTATCTCTTACATATTACAAAAAATAATGGGTAATTTGCGAATCTATGTTCTATAATATAGTATTAATCCCTGTTCAAATAAATTCAATAGATAAGTTTTGCATTTAATATAGATCAAAATTGTCTTTAAAGCATATAAATAAAGTTAATATCTTAGTAGATATCAGAGATTTAATATGCGGGATTAAAGCGGCCGTCGACGCGTCGGGCTGTATGTCCGTCCCGGGAGGCAGCGGTCGGCAGGAGCGGAGCGGGCCTATAAATATTGCATTATTTGCATATAAAGATGTCCTGTCTGTAGTATGGTGTTATCAGAGTAATAGTATAATTAATTTCTTCACGCTGACACCACATTAGTAGTATTTGTACCCGTGCGAAGCCGGGGCGGGTCACTAGTTATAGTTAAGTTGAGTTACACCCGGACACGGAAGAAGTGATCGTGGTTATTACACAATTTTTGTCTTTAGATCAACTGGCCAGTCAAATAACGGTGTTTTAAAAAATAATTTAACGTTATAATGAAATGTTGTTTGAGAATACTCATAATGCGTTGAACATTATTATATTATAATTATTATCGTATTCTTGTTAACCCCTCCAACTAAGCTAAAAATTCTTGTAAGGTTTAAAGAGGTATCATTTCCTAGTCATTATAGATACTAAAAAATATTTTTGTGTAGTATATTATGACCACTAATAAAAAAATGTCCTAGAAAAGTACGGTCAATAAAAAAAAAAAATTAGAAGTTATACAGGTAAAACTATTTTCGTAAAACGATAAAATATTTCTTTTATTTAAAAAATGGCAGCCTTCTATAATAAGTAGAAATGTTTTTGAGAAAACTGTTGTAATTTAATGTTTAAATACTCAAGGTTATAGTAAATATATCTCTCATAATCAGTATTTTTTGCTTCTTTTAAGTTTGATTCTAATAAATTGTTGAATCTTTCGGAGAATTTGGGACCGCGGTCTCAGTCCCGAAAGCTACACGATCCAAAATTGTTTGCCTCACAGTAAACCGATGTTAAGTATAGATGGGACAAAATCACAGTGAATTGTGATGGAACGGTGATTTATAATTCGATTTTGTCGTACGTAGTAACCCTTACTACTTACTCACGCGTTGTTGCCAATAAGCTGTTTTCAGACGATGCATAAAGACCCTATTTCGCCTATTTAACAATAAATCTAGTAATTATTTTATTATATATAGCTACCATTCCCTACATAATAATTAAATAATACTAGATTTACAGTTAAATAGCGTCTAAACTCATGGATATCCGCACAAAAAAAAGGGTTTCTAGGTAGGCCTTTTTACCCAACCCTTGTTTTACAAAAACCTTTTTTTGTGCGGCAATCCCCTATGATACTACCCACCGTTGGGATGGTGATGTCGGACTCGAATTGACCAAAAACCGCACGTCGTCTCGGGTATCAGTTGCCAGGGAACCAGGTGTACCCTAGGAAGGAAATCTAATCTACGTACCTACGCAAAAATCGAATGATAAATCACAGTTCACTGTGATTTTGTCCAAAGCCATTCGACTGATTCTGGAGGGAGGACTTAATACGTACTTGTGACTCTTGAATTCTTGAGTAGCAGGTGTCCATGGGCGGCAGTAGTTACTTACCATCAGGTGACCTGACTGCTCGTTTGCCCCTATATATTAGATCTTTACCTATGAAATTGCCGTTTTGTATGCAATAAGTGAAAGTACTTATTTTTTCAAACTTTTTTATTTCTGTTATTCGAAGTAATCACCCATGCAATCGACGCATCTTTGCCAACGCATTGGCAGTTTATTGATGCCCTTCTTGTAAAAATCAGCTGCACGGGAGGTAACAAACTTTTCAAAGGCATTTTGTACTGCCTCTCGGGAATTGAATTTTTTACCCACTAAAAAGTTGTCTAAATTTTGGAAAAAGTAATAGTCGGTAGGTGCATCTTTAGATCTATTTTACGTCTATATTTAAAAGAATAGATGTTGGTAGAAAGGTATGAAACGATAATTATATCAACGATCACCAACGAAGGAAGTCAGTGTAGAGGACTTATAGAGGACATAACATAAGCCTAAATTCTCTAATGCCTTCCTATCATTGTTAATATCAATCCTCATATCAATAGGTACTAGTTAAATTCATTACAAATGTAAAACTGTAAGCAAACCATAAATAAGTGTCGAATTTAAAGAGACTACGAGTACATACCAAATCCACGAGTGTGGTACAGATTACTGTTGTTGTAAAATAAAGGCCAAGTTACATACAAATTTACAGAAATTATGGTCTAGATTTAAATAATGGCGATTTTTTCTTACTGTTACGTAAATAAATGCAATTAATTATTGCATTAGTTAATGTGTCTGCCCCGCTAGGCTTTTATCATGGACAGGTAGGTACGTGTGATATCCCATACGCTACCCAACTCGCTCTTTTCGATTACCTTATTTGCATACTTCAAATCCTTTAAAATATTCTTAACAAAAAAAACTACATAGGTAATTACTAATTATTTTGAAACACACATGCCATCTTAATTCATTAACAGACCGATGAATTATTGTTAAGTCATCGCCACAGAACTGAGGAAAATAGAATTTCGTTGTCCATGCATAATTAAGCATCACGCAAATTTAATAGACTTAATTAGGTGCATTCAGCTCTCATCTGTTTGATGTTTATTTTGTATAGTGGTACCTTTGTTCCCTAATAAATTTGTTGATGTTGCTTCAAAAATGTCTACGAATGGCAGAACCGATGATAACTTTCAATACAGTAAATAATCAGTAAAATCAAATAGGTATTATCTCTATCTACAAACACTGTAATCGTATCTTTATCCTCGTACTCACATCTTTGATCCCCGAGCTTTTCCCTCCGGTGAGAAATAAAAGTGCGCGGTGTGCGCAGGGCGCTTATGCCCTGTATATAAGCTGAGTGGCCACTTTACAGTCCACTGTTGGTCCCTAACCGTGGCATCAATTGCACAGCCACAACTAGTAACTAGTGATATGAGTGCAGTGAAGTGTAGGTGAGTGAAAAAAAAACATATTTTAAAACTTTATTCCGGTGTATGAAAGAAATAAAAAAAAATGTTTTAAGCATTTTGAATTTGGAAGTGAATCGCGGTTCTTCTTCTTTCTTCTTCTTCTTCTGAATCTAGGTTGCTTTAACATTTTAATTAAATTTTCAAAAATATAAAAAGGTATATCCTAAAATATACAGATTAATGACATAACAAGAACTTGCACATTAAAAAGTTTTTTATTTCACTTTCAAAGTGTAAAAAGAAAATTAAATTTAATTAAATTTACTTTAACTTCATTTTTTACATTAATAGGTTATTTTTGGCGATATTAACCGGACAAATAATTTTTAGGATGATCAGTTTAAAGTATTATCTGACTTAATTAACATTAAGTAGTATCAGAACAATAATAAATACTCTAACGTAAGAATATCTAAAAAAAGACACTACTTGGATATTAAAAATACTGTTTCCGTTAATAATACTTAATATAATTTATCCCATTTAAGTAATACGCACTTATAGTATCTACATTTCTTTGGCATTCAATTTTAAAAAGGATTTTTGAAAAAAAAAAAAACTATTCGTTTAAAAGTTATGATCGTTTCAATTCCCAAATATTATTACTCTTGTTTCTCTTAAAAGCGGGCAAAATGTCTAGTTAAATATTTAAATCCTATGATGAGGCCTATGTCCAGCAGTGGACTGCGATAAGCTGATGATGATGATGATGAAAGGAAGGATAAAGAGGAAATCCAAACCAATTCCAGAAATACATTGCATTATTTTTGGCCTTAACTATGTCCGTGCAGTTTATATAGAATCACGCAAATGAAATTTACTAAACCAGGTGTATTCATTTGAGAATTATCAAAAACATGTAGCTTTCAACTGTTTGATATTTGTTTGTTAAAAAAACTATCCGTTTAAAAGTTATGACCGCTTTAATTTTCAGATATTATCAGTTCATATTCTCATAAAAGCAGATGAAACGTGTTATGTTGTTGTTGTTTGGAAGTATTCAATTTATTATTGAGAAAATCCATAAAGTAACATCAATTTTTTTTGAAATTGGTTTTAATGGATATTCTTATATATTAAATAATTCCAAAATAAAAATTTTGTGTCATAAATACAAATAAAATAAAATGTTTCACTACAAATTTTACCTGTTTTTCTGAAAAATAAAAGAAGATAGGAAAAAAAACGATAAAATTCAGATATTATTCAGAATTGAAACGGTGTAAATTTATAAACCAATCATCATCATCATTATAATACGGAATTTCACCACCCCTATTCATCCCGTGGGTGTCGTAAGACTAAGGGAACAAACTACGCCGGACAACAGCACTGCAAAGAGAAGGAAAACTTGAAACAAACCCTATATTAACCCGTCTGGACAGCGTGGTATAGTCGGCCAAAACCTCCTTTCTAAGGAGAGGCCTATGTCCAGCAGTGGACTATTATAGGCTGTTGATATGAACGAATAAGTTTTTGGAATTCTTTTTAAAATTGAATGCCATAAACAAGTACAATAAGTGTTTACAGCTAGTGTCCCATTTGCACGGACACCTGTATACTCGTGTGTAGAATCTTTTTAACGTTTTCAACTTAATGATAGGTATCTATGTTTCAGAATATAATTCAAAGAATATCTTATCTACTGCTGGTTTTTTTTTATTTTTTTGCATCTCAAGTAATTATAATAATACTTCCTTTAAAAATTTAAATAAATAGTTTTTTTGCCCAATTTATTTACAGGAGTTAAAATAACAGAAGTTAGTATTGAAAAATCAAAAGATTCAGGCAACATAACATTTTAAAACAATTCTTAAACGCACATTAATTACCTATCATTTTAAAGTTTAAAACAATTTAAAAATACCTTAAGTTGAAACTGCCCAGTTGACTGCTTTTGCCTCCCTCACGTAAATGGGACCAAGTAATAGTTGACAAATTATTGGTGTTTGATAGATCTCTGCATACCTTACCTGGCGTGGGTTTATGTGCATATAGTTTAACTATTACCTATTAACAGAAGGAGATTTTCAATTATTTTGTTTTTTGAATGGATGATTTGGAAGATTCTCTTTTAATTTGGCAGAGTATACTTCTCGTTTGGTCCCATTCAAATTTGAAGAAAAAATACCATTCCTAATGGTGGAAAATTAAAGAATAACGAATACAATTTAGGGCCGTTCATAATAATGTAGGCGCATTGAAGTCGATAATGCTGTGTTATTCAAAAGCCTTTTAAAAGCTAATTATTTCTAAACATAACAACCGTACAATAGAAAACAAAACATTGTTGCTACAAGAAAATTTGTAACAGGTAAACAGATCGTTTATAGTTCGACCCGTAAGCAAACTGGACCTAAAACTTACCGTATGTCATAGTAATATATGTCTGTCGGGCAAATCGGGATTCATTGGCTCTACTCCAAATTGAGAATTTTCTACTCTCCTGCTGTATGAATAGAAAAAAACTATTATTTTTAGTCTCATTGAAATTATTGCACTTCCTATAAAGCTAAAAAACTACTACGTGTCGCGATGTTTCGGCATTTTTATTTTCCCTTTTTTTGTAAAGACAGCTCGCACATTAGGATAATATCCTGTGTCGCGGGGGACTTTACAAACATACATGAAACGGACACAAAGAACACCCAGACTCAGAACAGCAATTTGTGGATCACACAGTGTCGTCCCTTGTGGGGATCGGACCCACAACACTCAGCGTAGTAGTAAACGGCGTGGCGACCGCTAAAAGTGGTTTTAGCGGTCGCCACGCCATCCGTGCAGTCCGCATTTTGATTAATTTATTGTTGTATACTTCAAGTTCGAACGATGCTCTTAAATATTATTTATCAAAAAGGACATAGACAGACTTTTGTTTCCTTATTAAATCACTTTTTAAATAAGATAAGTAAGATAAATCATTTTATTTTGTGTGTACAAAAAAAAAATGTTACGTGTAATTTGCGTTTTTGATATATGTAAAATTAGTAAACTAAAACTCAAAATATCCATATATCATAACAAAAAATTAAAATTATTTGAAATCGTCTTAAACTATAAAATCATAGATCAACACACACAATAGCAACAATCTGTTTTGTCAAATATTTAGCAAAATGAAGGTAATCCATTTATATAATATGCACATTCAAAATAATTAATATGGGAGGAAATAGATTGTTGTCTCAAATATAAGCAAGTAACACTGTATACTTTAAATTGAAAACGACGATGTAATGCCTACCGAACAATAATGTATAGCAAAATGTGTAATCGCAACTGGCACCCACAGGACAGGCTTACCTAGTGTGGGGCCACCGGCAATGTATCACATATTTTGTACTTTTCATTTTGGTAATAAAAAATGGGGCAAGGAGCTGAACCTTATGAAAAGAAAAGGGCAAAGAAAGTAGAAACTCACGGTAACTATTTTTTAATTATAGTTAGATACAGTCACTTCATTAAATATATCACACCATTGCTTTGATCTGTGGGCCAGTATAGTATATCACTTAGTATGTCAGTTATTAAGGACTAAAAGGTGAACGTATGTACGAGTAATGAAGGGAAAACAAGATGAAGAAAAAAGATGGAATAGAATTGAAAGTGAAGTAAAACATAAAAAATGAAAAAAATAAAATAATAAAGAACACACTAGCCCACACTACCTTTCCACTTAAGTATGCTAAATTAATCCCAAGCATTCTTGTCTTCTATGTAATCCACAATCGAGTATTTGGCCTTCTGACACAGGATACGCTTAACTGTGGATTTAAATTTATTCTTGTCTGTAGGAAACCAATGAAAATAGCTTATTGAATGTGCATATTTTAAATTATAAAAAAAAGTAGTAGGTAGGTACATTTCAACCTTTTGAGTACATATTTGCTGCATACTTTGACGTTTCGTATTGTATTGTATGTATGTATTTTAGTAGAGAACGATAACTCGACTTAACATTATAGCGACTGTGTATCGTGGTTATCCGATGACAAAGATGAAACGTGCTAACGACACTAGAGCGAAACTAAGTTTTTACGGATTAGAATGTTGCTAGAATTTAAAAAATAAGTACATGTAAGGATTATTTTTATTGAAACACTTGACAAACAAAATATATAGGGTGACACAACTTCAGAAGTAAAATTTTTAATATCAGCCTCCATAAAATATACTTAGAAAAGAGGTTATATGGACCTATTTTCTAGGATTACAAAGACTATTCTTGTGTTAAGGAGGACCTTATAAATATAAAGTTAGCAGACACAGAGTACAACTTGTCTGAAATACAAGCTATAATAATAATAACTTTAACTCATCTTACACACGGCAGTCTGATCCTAAAATACGGAATAAATATGGTAACCAGACTGCTGATAAACATACTTATATATTTCTAAATACATACATATCATAGATAAATTACATCCAGACATAGAACGAATGATCGTGCTCATCGTATTTATAAATTATTTATCCTCTGTGAGAATCGAACCTATGACCTGCGGCTTAGCAGTCAGGGTTACTAACCACTAGACCAACAGTCCCGACGCGATGTGCCCTAAGGTTGGCTGGAGGAGATTGGACACTGAAACGTTTTTAATTTAAAAATTGTATCGTAATAGCTGATACAACCTCCAAAGTCTAAGGGTAGTTTTGAAAAATTAGTAACAACGTTTTTTTTTATTTACTTTTAATAAAGAGTATTTACTGTGAGTTTGAAAACGCTAATACTAAAAAACGAAGTTTCATATAAATCTCCAACTACTATTTAGCACCCTTAGGGATGGAATTTTTAAAAACCTTTCTTAGTACACACCTACGTCCTACCACCTAAGGTACATTCGTGCAAAATTTCATGCTTCTAGACCCAGCGGTTTCACCTGTGCGTTGGTCGATCAGTCAGTGAATCAGTTTTTTATTTTATAGATGTACTCGTAAATTATGATCATTATATTTTAATGTTTATTAGCATGAAATCTAGTTCCGTTTATGTTATTAAACTTTGTAATTGTGCAAATATCATTCATTATGTCTAGAACTAATAATAATGTTTTATCTCTCCGGTCTTTTAACAATAAGATCATTCTGTGCTATTACGGATCAATGGATTCGGTATTAAACTTACAAGTAATGACCAAGTGTTCATTGTACGCGTATTACTGATAAATAACCCGTCGGTATTATCACTGTATAGATTTGCTTATATATATATCTTCCAACAAACATGTGGTTTAGGGTATTGTTTCGTTTCTGTTAAGATTGACATGCACGAGAAGTGAAATGATAGATGATAGGTGGCAACACATGCAACTGTGGTAGCGCCTAGGACTTGCGACCCAGGAGTATGTTTAGGGAGTACTCCTTGCGATGCGTCAGCGCTCACCTCCACTGTCTGCTATGTGACACCCTCTACCTAACCTTATTCGATATGAACCTAACAATGTCGCTTTAGAAATTGGTTCAAGAAAAGAGTTTACTGACTCTCTTGGCAAGGTCTTTAAGCAGGTTATAGAGGGATTTAGAGATACATACAACAAAACGAAATAGATGTTCTGATTCTGTTAGAAAGTCTGTTTCGTTGCTAAATCACTCTATAACCTGACCCTTAAGCACTCTTACTTACCCTAATCTATCTGTATAAAGAAACCCCCTTTCCTACCATTGCGTTTCTTTCTTATCTACCTATATACCATATCCTATCTAGTCACTAAAGCGTCAGGTTGATGGCAATACCTCATCAACCAATAGCCCACTGTTAGACATAGGCCTCTCCTTACGAAGGAGATTTTGGCCTACTATACCACGCTGGCCAGTCGGGTTCGTTTTAAGTTTTCCTTCTCTTTGCAGTGAGCTTATCCTGCGTAGTTTACTCCCTTAGTCTCCTCTTACGACTCCCACGGAATGAAATGGGGTGGTGACACTCAGTATTCTTAATCAGCTTCTTAATGTCTCCTAATACGTACCTGGGACTAAATTTATAGTGGAGAAATGTGGGGGTCTTATACGCCAGTCTATTCTTTCCGTCATATAGGCTTGAGTGTAAAGATACCCAATAAAAGAACACATTCATTAATCAAAAATTGAATATACTATTAATAATATTTGCACAGAGTAATTGATAGTGTCATGCCGGAGCTCCGTTTTTTGTCGCGTCAGTCCCTTTTTGTCAGTCACACCCACCTATTCAAATGCACAATAAGCATTTTCCATTTGTTTTACAGCCGAAAAGCTAGCTTATGTGTAGTAATAAAGTAAATAATTCCGTTTTTATGGTTGACGAATTTTGAAATGTTTTAACGATCCAGCAGGTGTGTGAATCATCTAAGATAATGCGAGATATACGGCTGGAGAAATTATTACTTATATTCTCACATTATGATGAAATTCATCGTCACTTCAATTGTTTAATATCTAGATTTATACATATATTCTAGACTAGTTTGTACCCACAAATATGCATTAGAACTTATCAGGACTGTTAGGGTTTAAGATATAAAATTATTGCTATAGAAAGTTTAGATGTCTGAATATTACTCTGGATTGACTGTTTGCCAAGCTATTTTGTATCAAATTCTAAGTTTCTAGACAAAAGATTTAATATAGATAAAAAATGATAATTGGTCATGGCTAAGACGTCGCGGATTTAGCGATAGACTTACGGTTTTATCGTCTTCTGAAAAATAGTCAGAACTACAACTGTCCAGAGGAAAGCCCACATTTTTCGACGTCTGCAAAAAACTGATGACTTTGTGTGGAATGACAGCATTTATGTGCTGAACTTGAAAATATAATAAATTAAAATATTTACTAGTAGTAGGTAATTTTAACTTTTCATAGCCGAATAGCGACTTTGACTTTAGATTTAAAACAGTGTTTCGGTTGCCTCGTAACCAATATTGGTAAATCGTGAGACTAGAACATAATTTAGCTGTGAATTCACTATATTTTAACAGACTTTAGACGTTTTATGTAAATGTTAAAACTTGCGCTATATTTTTGCAATTGAACGAATTTGTTTTAGTCTTACATATTTGATTTTTTCTAAAAATATTTTATGTTTCCGATTAAGAATACAGTTTACTGTAACTTGTTGTGATTTAGGCGCCTTGAAGTCAGTGATTCGGTGATACATTTTTAATTAATTATTACCTAATTGCATATGCATTATAGAAGTATTTGAATGTAGGTATTACAAAAAGACGTAGACAGTTTAGTTAGTATTTTTAGTAAATAATGTAAGCAGCAAATGTACTAAGTGTATCATTATTTTATTGCTGAAATGGCTAAATGTTAATTGAAACGAAATACCTATACTATTAGACTAATCTCCTATTTGTACCTATTTATCCATACTTATGCACATATACATATTATGATATACGTTTATTGCACTTAACTGACATAATGGACTAGATAATCCTATTTATTACCATTGTGTATTTGTTATGGCATTAATTCCAAATGCTTTTTATACATCTCCCACGCATTTTATTCGTGACATAAAGATACCAGCTGGAATAAGTAGAGGCGCATCCTAAATATTAAATGTTTTTCATTATTGAGCGGCAATTTTTTTCCTAAAACTTCAAAATATTATAGGAGAGGAAAAATAAAACAAAACAACAAAAGATTTTATTTTTAATTTAGTATTTTTTAAGTACCTTTCAAGTACCTCGCCTCCCACTTACAATGTGATGGTGAGATTGATCGAACTGTACAGCATCGAATCAATACGGGATGGATGAAGTGGCGGCAGGTAACGGGAACAACTTGTGACCCCAGTTTCCCCTTAACACTGAAGGGACAAATTTATAAAACTATTATCAGACCTGCCGTCCTGTATGGCTCTGAAAGTTGGCCCATTAAGAGAACGGATGAGAGACGACTGAACGTAGCCGAAATGCGAATGCTGAGATGGATGTGTGGTGTGACTCAGATGGACAAGGTTAGGAATGAGTATATACGAGGGAGTCTGAAAGTAGCGCCACTGGATAAAAAGTTAAGAAGTAATAGGCTATCTTGGTATGGACATGTCATGCGGAGGGATGAGGCAAATGTGGCGAAGAAAGTTTTAGGTATGAGAGTTGAAGGGTACAAGAGAAGAGGCAGACCGAAGAAGAGGTGGATGGACTGCGTCAGGGAGGATATGGCTAGGAAGGGAGTAAACAGTGAAATGACGCATGACAGAGTAGAATGGAAAAATCATACATACTGCGCCGACCCCAAATAAAATTGGGAAAAGGGTAGGCAGATGATGATATATTTTTAAATATAGATAACAATAAGTTGGTTCTATGACAAGTTAATTTGTGATTAAGCTTTTTAATTGTTTAATAATAACTGTATAAATAAATAATGATAATAACAGACCATAATTTGGCGAATAATATTAAAAGTTTTTCGATAGCGCATAATTTTAAATCGTTTTGAAAGAACAAAAAAACGTTTAAAACATTTGATTAAATAATAAAGTAATGGGTACATTAGTAGGTACCTAGCAAGCTACGATAGGTTAGGGATTTTTGGTGCAATCTTAGAATTAGTTTTGGAAGATTAGTTACAATCAAGATTAACTATTCCTTTGTCAGTTTTTTTCCGACGCTATTAATTAAGTCTTAAAAATGTTTTAGTTAGCAGTTAATAATGTTTTAGATTCAGTTTTTCAATTTGGCAACCTTGACCAACACACGGCGTTCGAGACATCGAGCATCTTACGTGAGTTAATTGATTGCGTTGTACAGAGGTGCGTGCGTGGTGGTGGCGTGGTTGTTGGCGGCTTCGCTGGTCTCCGCGCAGATTACCTTCAGCCGGGACTGGTCCGGAGGGAAGCGGGCCGCGCCACACCTTGCCCTCGACTGTGGCCAGTTCACTAGACTCTGCAAGCATTTTGTAGTCAGTATAAATTTCTTTCCAGCTTATATCTATTAGTCATCTACATCATTATGAGATTATACATAGTTACACAACTTACATACGAGTATTTAGCATTGTACAATATGTTAGGATGTAGTACTTAGTTCTTTTCAAACTGCAGTTTTCTGGATTAGAACATTAAACTACCTACTTAAAATGAGTAGGGAGTTAGTAACGCTTGACAGTCATGGAAACCATTTATATCATTGTTTACTTGACCAATTTAAATCATACAAAAGAAATTCAGTAACACGAAGAAAACTCCGATTATTCTTCTTGAGCGTTCCTAAACCTAAGTTAATAGGTATTATTTAAATAATATAAAATTGTTTTTAGCTGCTATACAGGGTACATTTTATTTTTTTAATGGATTTTTATTTCATGTTTGCAGCACGAGTTAAAGCAGACCTTGACATCAGAAATGGCCAGCAAGCGCCACCAGGATTTCGACAAGCCCCCCCTTTACGACGATGAATAACCACTATATCCCGATAATATCTTAGATGCTGTCAAACCGTCATCATGGCTCACTTTTATAATCTGTAACGTTCATAACTAACAATTATGGCGGCAAAATTCATATCTAATTATAAGTTAGGTTATGTGCCAAATAGTGTTAAACTCTTGCGATTTCTTAAGATTGATCAATATGAACAACGAATTTTGGGAAGTGTTGTCTACTGTTAGTAGAGAGGAAACTTGTTAACTAACCTGTTATGTTTAACATTTTAACTGTTACCTACTAACAGAAAAAATAATATTACTATCCACCAATTTACGTCGAAATGATTAAGAAATCTCTTTTGTCGTCTTAGAATATCTATTGTCCTTCAAGATTCCCCAAGATTAAAAAGAAAATTATTATGCTCTTAAAATGAATCGCAGCTCTATTCAATTGCCGTGAAAAAGAAATCATATGTATTTATGTTATTTTTCTAGTCATGACGCTAACTCTTAATATGTATCATAATTAGGTATAATGTAATGTAGGTATCCAAACTGTTACTTAAATGCATGACACGGCCCAAAAATTTTGTATTATCTAATATACTAACCGAGTCTCTGATGTATAAATAAATGAGATTGAACTATTTGATTTTGTTTTAATATTACTTAGACACAGACGATTTTATTGGAATTTATGTAAAGTGAGAGATGAGACGGAGTCGAATTATCTTATACACGATCTTATATTATAGCAAGAAAGATTTTTTCTTATTAGTGAATCTGACTGTATCTGAAGAATAGGCAGAGCTGACTGCCTCGTGGTGCATTGGTAGCACAGAGTACATTGTAATATACTGAAAATTGGTAGCGTATGCGACTGCCGTGATGAAGTCTCCAGTTCGATTTCCGGATCGGACCATGATCTGCAAAATATTTGTGTCGGAAAATCGGAAAATCTGCAAAAGAATGTCGCAACTGCACCGGAGCCGCTCCACATCATGTGGCCTCTCCCTTAGTGAATCAAAAACGGGTAATAGGCAGTATATATTTATGAAAATGAAAAGTTTACAAAAGGGAAAGCAATGGAAACGAAAGACATATTGCTTCAACAGATAGATTGGAAGTCGAAATAAAGTCTTGCGCTTTTGGCGGGCAGCCCAGAGCTTTCAAATATAAATGTATGAATTTGATCTTTAAGGCATATTTATAAAACGATCATCATACATACTGGTCTGTCCTACAAGTTTCTGATTTCCCATGTTTATTATATCCACTAAATAGACTGGTGCGGTTCATAAAATTAAGAAAAAAAAAGAAACACCCAATGTACTAAAAAGTTATATTGTGATAAAATGATTTTATGTACAGATATAATATAATTACAAACTACACACACAATTATTGCAAAATTCAATCAATTCCATTTATATTAAGGCTTAATGCCATCTAATATATTAATTAAAATGTCAATAATTAAAATACAATTTTCAAATATGAATTTACAATTTGACCAGAAAGTAACGACACCTACGCGGGAAAACTTGTTATCTGGCTATATAATCTGATAAGTCTTAAGATTGAAGACACAATATTAACAAATCGTCAAGTTTAAAACAATTTCACAAATATAAATTTAATGTATTGTAACAGATCATTTTGTCCTTGCTGTTGATATCGAGTCTAAAATGCTTGTCTTCTAAAAGTTGATATATTTATTTTGAAACATTTTATATATATTTCACATTTTCTATATGCAATATGGTATTCTAATTATCAAATAGGTATAAAAAATACGTGAGTAAAATACTATATAGATTCTCTGATGAATCAATGTTTTTTTTTGTAATTACTATGAGTTTTAATCTAGCCGTTAGAATTATAACAAACTTAGTATAACTACAATGGAAACATCAATAAACATAGAGTAAGTGGATTACATTGGCTTAAGAATATTTTAAAATACTTTACTTTTGCATTTAAAAAAGTATGTTAACGTTAAAATGCAAACGAAATAATTAGAACTAAAGTAATTGTTGCTATCATGACTACGTGATGTACGTGTGTTCATAATATTCTAATTGGGTTGGTTTTTTGGTTAGGATGTGATAAATTAAAATTTTACCAATCCGATTTAACAAATTACTTTTGTGTCAGAAATATGGAGCAGGAGATTTATTAACTTTCTTTTAACAGAATTGGGTAAAGCGATCGATAAATTTATAATCTTTTAACAGTTTGTAAATCTGAGAGAGTAATTTTCTTGTTTTAACTGCCTTGTCTAAAGTGTGGTAACTTATATTTATTATTAACTAGTTACTTCCTAATAAACAAGCATACAATTACAGAGATAAAAAAAATTAGTAACGTCGAGATTAGAAGGCATTTATATGGCAGGTTTTCAGTTTTAGATGGAGTTATGTCCTTGTGGTGACGGATTAAGAATACGGAATGTCACCACCCCTATTCATCCCGTGGGTGTCGTAAGAGCCGACTAAGGGAGCAGACTACGCAGGACAACAGCACTGCAAAGAGAAGGAAAACTTGACACAAACCCTATACCAACCCATCTGGCCGGCGTGGTATAGTAGGCCAAAACCTCCTTTCTAAGGAGAGGTCTATGTCCAGCAGTGGACTATTATAGGCTGTTGATGATGATGATGATGTCCGATAACCTTATCAAATTAGATAACTTACACCCTCAGCTAACGAATAGAATGTTGCCCAATACCCTATGAATACAACTTATATTGTTAGTATTAAAGCTAATTAATTCAGTCAAACTACACTATGAATAACAACTTAATTTATATGTACGCTGCTATCGACCTAAGTAATAAAATAATAAACAAAGATTATGTCATGGTCCAGCCAAGATATAGTCGGTTACAAAAGCGGATTCTGGATATGTCAAAGATCATGATATTTATTTTTGATACCTATATTTGTTGTAAAAATGTTAAAAACATAATTTCTATGACCTTTTAAATATGTTATACACAATATGTTGTTTGTACGAAGCAGAATGATTATTTTATATCAATGAAATGCGATAAAATTGCTTACAAAATGCATATCATCACAAACTTATTTCTTCGAAATACGTAAGTAAACAGATTTGCAAGCATAAATCTAAAACATAACATAAAAAAATTCTTAACGAAATCAGCATAAGTTTTTACGGCTTTTAATGCCAAAGACTGAAAGTATCAAAAGATGCATAATATTTGCTTTGTTAAAAATGTCCTACTACATTTTTACTGACTTAAATTTATAGATCAAACGGTAATAAAAAATTCATTGAGTTTTCATTATTTCAATATTTGTACTTAGTCTTTTGAAATGAACAATAATTGAAATGATTTGTACGTAAATCGTCATTACTACAGCTTTAAGGTCATTTAAAAGCCATATAAAATCAATGTTACCGCTATAGTAATATAATCATACCTTGATTCTATACATTGAAGTACTAATTGTTCAGCGTGAATCAACTATTTTTAATAAAAATAATCTGTGACATTGATGCATTATCGTAAAAACGTGATGTCGTTGTTATTGTGATTATAATTTTAACATAATATTTAAACTACTTTGTCATATTTTTATCAAAGTAAAACAACGGTTGTAAACATCTGAATCGATCAATGTTATAATCACGTGTTTATTATATACAGAGTAATTAATATAAAAATTATATGCGGAAGTCAATTCTTTCATAGCCATGTTTGGCTGTCAGTAACTTATACAGTTTAAGAACTATTAACTTTTTAGTTATGAACTTTTTTATAAATATAAATGTATGAAATACAAATATAGTCTAATTTTGTTATCAACGATATCTTAAATAAAAAAAACAAAGGTACGGTATATTCCATATATGTATGTCAACTTTCTACTTAAGTTGCGTGTCAAAATTCATTCATACTTCCGAAAACCAGTCGGAGCTTCCACCATATTTCCTAGTCATCATCAGTACCACAACACCTGACATATTCAAGCGCCTTATTTAAGCAGTCCAACCAAATATCTCTGTCTTTCGGTGTATCAGCAGCTAGTAGGTGTCTTCGAACAACTGAGCCGTCGGGGCGTTTAACGTAGACCAGGGAGTCGGCGTCGGGGACGATCAGTCCGGCCGGTACTGCGGACTCGAGCAGGAGGGTGTTGGGGCGGGCGCAGAGGTCTCGCGGAGCTCGTATCACCTTTTCGGATATGACGGTGGAAAGGTCTATATCGCCGATAGGCATCTGGAATTGTGAGAAAATTGTTGTGTGCAATAATTTTTAATATTTCTAGAATTTTGAATCAGGATATTGAAGAGGTGTGGCAAGAAACAAGGTATTAAAGTTATTAGTATAGACTACTGTAAACCAACATCAAGCAAGCGCACAACCGCCAGATTTATAGTATATACAATAAGAAGTCGGTTGATTAGCTTAAAATATAGTCTTTACGTCTGACCTGACGACTGGATAGCGTAGTGGTTTTTGTAATGGACTGCCACGCCAAAGGTCGCTGGTTCAATTCCCGCTCAAGTCAAACATTTGTGTACATTAACATTGAATGTTTGATTAGGTCTGGGTGTTTCTATGTATATATTATGTGTGTATTTACAAAAAAGTAAATTTATGTATTTATATCATCTGTCTAGTTATAGTACAAGCTCTGCTTAGTTTGGGACTAGATCGCGATGTGTGAATGTGGTAGCATATTTAAAAAAAATTGTACACTAAGTCACATAGTTTGTGTTGTTGTTGCCGTGATATAAAAATATTTTTCTACCTTTTTCTGCACATCATCGGGATACTTCCAGTAAGCCAGTCGAGGACAGTGCAGACGGAACCATCTTCTATGCCAAGCGCCGAGCCCTGACACGTCATCGAAGGCGGTGAGGAACGCCGCGTGGGGGGAAGGAGGAGGAACTTGGACTCGGGCTTTTATCTCCATGTTCAGTGATCCTTCAAGGGGACTGGCGGCTGGGAGCTGGAAAGAAATCATATGTAAAATCATATGTAGACGAAATTATTACCTTTGATTTCTAATTTGCTAAACGGTTCCAGATAACGCTCCTGGTGTATGCAATTTAGTCCAAAAATAAAGAAAAAAAAAAAATCTCCTGTTTTAAGAATGAAGTGGATAGATAATGTTAACTGGATCTTAAGAATAAGGGCTCCAAGAGTGGGAGGGATGGATGGTGGTTGGATGAGATCATAAATACATTAAAAATGAATAATTATTAAGTAGCTATGGTCTCACTCACTGGTTTCAAAATAGTCAATCACTTTTATTTGCGAATATGGCTATTTATGTACCTTAAGGTTACAATATAATAATTAGGAACATTAATATTCTATCTCTGGGCATGCAACTATTATCAAGATATGTTATTAGATACATTAAAAACAAATTTAAAATCAATTTCTGTATAATTTATACTGATAGTAATTAATACTAAAAGTCTGGCATAGTATTATTTTGGGACCAGTGAGAATGGTTTGCACTATTGTTGCACTTTTTGCTATTATAGGTTGATACGCTAGAGAAGGTCAATTCTTTAAAAAAAACCAGTTATAAAATATTAGTTAAGTATTAGGAACATCCAACGTTGACTGTACTGTGCTTATTTCGTATTGTGACCGATAGTGGAATCGGTATTTTGCTAATCTTAGCAATACTTTATTACTATACTACGAGATGCTATGCTTTTTTTGACATTTATGAGATCGAGAGTAGATCAGCACTAAATTTTGAATGTTTTTTCATTACAATGCAGGAGTAAATGGGAGGTTGGCAAAATGTGGGTGTTGGTAGGTAGGCGTGGGTGAAAGAAGGTACGTACCTTATTTAGCGTGAAGGACCTCCTGGTGGCCTGCTGCAGAGCGAAGATGCAGTAGCCGTGCAGCGCGAACTGAGGCGAGCGCACGGCGTGTGGGCCCGCCGGGCTGTGCACGCGCGGCGCCTTCAGCTCCGACACCTTCGACTTGGGCGTCAACAGCTTGGAGCTCGACTGCACACAACGCATGCTTCACTTACGTATACAAAAACAAACCTCAAAAGAACTCTAAACGGAATTGTCGTTAGAATAACAAAATGTATTACCCTTCATTTTAAGAGGTGGAGAAAACTGCTATTTCTGCGTTAAACCCCGACTAATATAGATGATTTCGATCTAGATGATCATTAGATGATTAGTACTAACAATTACTTTTAATAATTAATAATACCTACTCGATTGATTAATCCCGTAACGGTAACCAAAATCATCATCAGCCTATCGGCGTCCACTGCTGAATGAAGGCCTCTCCTTAGAAAGGAGCTCCAACTATCCCGGTCTTGGCAACGAACGCTACGCTATTACTCCTTCAAACAGTCTTTTAATACTACAAAACTATTTCCTTCATTCACTTATTGACTATCAATTGTATTATCTATAATACATTGCTTATGCTTTTAAACAACAGCTCATTTAAACAATACTCGATTCTCTCCTTATAAAAGTAAAATTTAAGGCAAATCAGAAAAATACAAGAAAGTTACAGATAGTTATTATGTCTTACCTTTTTACTATTAATATGATATTTAACGTCATGTGGCAAAAATTCCTTAGAAGCTTGTAGTAAATACACTTCCACAGTCACCTGAAAGAGTACAAATAATGAATTTTCGTATATATTTATCTCTCTAATGCTCTGAAAAGGCATATACAAATAAGAGACAGAGATTTGAAAAAGAAGGTGACGTTTCAAAATATTTGCTTACTTTGAAGTCACTAGCAAGTCCTAACATGCGAATTTCATCGGGGAAGTGAAGTAAGTTACTGGTAGGCTTCGTCTGTTGCATGCTGGTGGCCAGAACTCGATCACGACATTTGATTAGGCAGACTGCGTGATGGCCCACTGCACCATCTGGGAAATATGATAACAAAATTAAAAGTTATAAATAAGGGACAATCGTTACTTATAAGAAGTTATAATTCATAATACTAATACTATTTTTGCAAGGGCGTTTGTTTGTAAGCACACAACTTGGCCAACTACTCAACCGACCCAGCTGTACCCCCAGCTACATGTAACGTACATGTAGCTGGGGGTACAGAAATACAACCAGAAAAAGAACTGTGTAAGTAAAAGACATTTACCCGAGCGAAGAATGTGAAAGCCAGAATTTCATTATTTTATTTTGTCGGGGGTTCTAATAAATTATGTTTTATAGATCAACTTTTTATGTGCAATTCGGATACACATCCTATGTCGTAGGGGACTTCACAAACATTTATGAAACGGACACAATGAACACCCAGACTCAGAACAACAATTTGTGCATCACATAAAGTGTTGTCCCATGTGAGGACACACTCACAACACTCAGTGCGATGGGAAGCGGCGAGGTGACCGCTTAAACCACTACGCCAGTCAAATTTTGAAATTTTAGCTTGCAAACGTTGACAGAAATTGTAATATGTTAATCTATGTATTGGTTGATGCCTGATTGGTTTGACAATACTATTTTTACTTAAGGTAATAATGTATATGTGTAATCATAAAAAAATCGTCCACACACCCCTAAATTGGTCATTCACGGAGTCTACTGTGCGTCCCTTAAATATACACTTTGCATAAATTTTTTAAATTGATATAACGCTGCACAAAGTATTTAAGACGCACGATACGGATTAAAAATATTAAGTATATGTACCAGCATTAAGTTGCCTGATGTAATCCCTCTTGAGTGGTACCGTAAGTGTGTTGAGATGAAGCGAGGCCATGCCAGCCGTAGCCGCGGGGCCAGCGCCCTCTACTTGTAGCCGCTGCAACTCGTGTAAACAGGCTTGACGGCGATGAGCTAAATATAAGGAATAAATGGATTATTTTTTCAAAATTATTAACAAGAGGTAGTGTAACGAATTAAGAACTGCTTGAGAATAAGGATACAAGTATCTACTGATATATATTTATGAAGTAACTAGCTTGTTTGTGAAGCGATAGGCGCCAGGCTATAGGCCCTTCCTTTCCCTTAATCCACTCTGCTTGAATGTTAATTTGATAGTTTTGAGTTGGATCACTCCCCCGTTAAGGCGGTTAAACTCAAATAAGCCGCGAAATGCCGCTACATTGTAAAGTGCCTTAACCGGTCAGTGTAGAGGCACGTGAGGAGTTAAACCCTTAAATTATTTTTTAAAATATTTTTCTTATTATTTGTAGTGCATGGTAAACCATGCACTACAAATAATAAGAAAATATAAATAACGATTACATGTGGGAGTGGTAAGTCAAAAGTGGCAGGGTCCTCGTCTGCTACCTTAAATTTAGGCATTTTTACTTACTTGCTAATAATAGTAATCTTTCTCCCTCAGCTTGTTCTGTAGATCCACTGAACTCTACTGTGGCTGCACAGAGATTTAGAGCTTGACTTGCCTGCAATACAAGCCATACAAACATGTTTAAACAAAGTAATTTCTGATTTTAGCACAGTTTAATATTTTTAATTAATAACAGTGTTAATTTGAATATACAATTAGTTACTACCTACCCTCGTATTAGAACAACAGACTTGAACTGCACTTTCATATTTCTAATTAATAATATAAAAAATGTAACAACGCTTTTTTTTTCAAATATTTAAAAAACGATATACAGCCGTCATCTCATTTCTTGTAAAACAAATTATCAGTCACGATGATATAGCCCATGTATACAATTTGATTTCAGAAAATTTGAATTTAGAAACTGTGGCAGCAAAAGGCTATACAATACGTAATTATTTAAACTGAAAAATTAATCTTTTTTTGTACAGTCTTGAAGAAGAGTGAGCCGTGAGCCCGTGTGTGAGTGTAGGATTCAGTACAATGACTAAATTAATGTTGTTAAATACCTGAGATATGACAGTCTGTTGTTTCCCAATTTCGTTCTGAAGTTCGGCAATGCGCTGCCGAACAGTCATCACGTTGGCGGTCGGTTCGTCAGGAGTCGCAGGTGGCTCACGTTCAGGTGAAACGTGTCGAATTATACGCATAGGCGTTGAGGGTGTTGAAGACTAAAACAAAATAAAGAACAAAAAAATTATGTAACGGCTACGGCGACATGTGATGAAATGGGTTGTAGGATCAAATCCTACGCAGTGATAATGCGGAATTAAACCAAAATTGAAGACAAGTTAACAAGAATATTAGTAAGGGAACATAACCATTCTACGCCCCTTGAACTCCCTCCCTGCCAGCTGGAATAGGTTACGGGTACATTCCCTAATGGGTCTGCTACTGGGTACTGCTAATGGTAAGAATACTAGTAATAGTAGTTAAAATCATTACGCATTAGTCGGCAATCTAAATAAGTTTAGCAGACCATTTACAATCATTCATCCAAAAACATAGAAATAATGGTCTAGACATCGTGATATGGTGAATTTTAATTTTGTTAAAGAAATTGATAAAAATAAAGTGGTATTAACAATTAAACTTACAGCATTCTGCATCCTCCTGTAGAAGCTGACACTGTGCACGAGTTCGCTTCCCTTGTCAGATCTGAAGGCTGGTGTGGCCGGTTGCTGCTTCAACGGAGACTTGAAGGTAGCATGCTCCTGGTACACGAAACTTGATGATGATTCCACCGAAGGCTGCAAACCGTTATGGAAACGGTTGGCTCAAAGTTAGATAGATAGCTTTTGATTTTAGTGATCATTTTGTTACATGGCAATGGAGTTTTTTTTCAAATTTTTTTCCATGGGACAATATTTTGGAAACCACACCCAACACTTTGTTAATCTTAATAAGTATTTAATAAATCTGTTTTTGGTTATTTTGTTGTCATTCCTTTTAAACATTATTTTCATTGTTGAAAGAAAGATGGCTCCCAATCAGTTTAGTTCTTTACTGATCATTAGCGTACAATCTTAACAATAACGTGCATTTTACAAATTTTAACGAATTTATGATGATGATGACTTTAATATTTTTAAAATGCACCATATTAAGAAATCAAGCACAAAAACTTTGTTGAATGAAATTCTTTATAAAATACCTCTAACAGAAAACAGAAACACAAAACATGTTTGTGTTCTGTACGCCATTGACACTATGCTATCCAATTTCTACATTATTCTTCTAATTTAATGTTAGTTTATATAGGAAACTGCAACTGATTACCTTATTGACCTTGGGAGGAGTGGGTCCTTCACTTTGTTGTTCTAACGCCTCATCTAACATATCATCTAACTCGCTGTCACAAGCTTCACTTTCAGAATCGCTCTCCCGTACTGCTTTTCGGTAGCTACTGTTATTCCTTTTAACAACCTAAAACAAAACACGCTTTATATAAATTTAATGTGTAGTACAATATTGATTGGTTAAAGACTGTGCGATTCAGTATATGACCCTAATTGATGGTGAAATTCACAAACACGAGTGACCTAAGTACTAATACTATTTGTGTAAATAAGATTATTATATGTTATGTTCTGCAGTCGAGTAACATCGCCAATAATTGTTCATCTTTCTCCCGCTCTTGTACCTACTACCACAATCTTAATTTTTTTAATTTACTTCAACAATATATCTTTTACTGAATGTTGTTTTAATTCTTTTCACTTCACTTTTAGGTCTCGTTAACACTTCGCAGTTTGACGGTCAATGAAGAGACTTTTAGACTTTTTTCTTTTATTAGATCACAAATATTCGGTACATTCACAACGCCGCTACCTAGATTTTTTTAGCACTTTTACGTCGCGATCTTATAAGTGAGATGTAGGACTTTTAATTTACACACATTACATACACGTTTAAAGCACGACGATAAACAGCAAATAGTAACTTGAAGCTGAGCAATAACAAACATCAACAATATTAGTCACGGTACGATAACTGAATTCTAATACATATAATAAACCATTTTCTTACTAATTGTACGTTGTTGATTTGTCATGCCGGTGATTTAGGCATCTTACTAGCTAAGGTTTAGTCAGAGCTATTGAAGGTTCGATTTAGGGTTCTGTAGAGTTCAAGTCACTCCTGGTTTTATGGTTTTGTAACGCAAAAGAAATAACGAAACCTTCTTGGCAAACGTCCACAAGCTCCAAGTCTTTACAAACGCTTGGATGCCATTTACACGCTCTCGAGTGTGCTATTGTGTTCCGGACAGGCAAACATAGCAGACGTGGACATATTTTTATTCAAAATATAAACGGCGGCACTAAGCTAAATGAAAGTATTCTCTAGCGCTACTGCTCAACTAAACTGCTCAATCAGTAGAGCATTGAGACTTAATGTTGATTTCCGACTGTAAATTTTATATTACAAGTATTGTAACACAATACTTGTAATATCAAATTGAGCAGTAGGGAACAAGCACGCGCCAACGTGTAAATACGTCGCAAACGCTTGCCGTGAGCTTCCTTCGATCTGTGTTCACAAACCGACAACCGTACTCGGTACTCTACCGGTACTACGTGCCGAGCCAAAGACCCCGTTCGTACGCTTGTGGACGCTTGTCGAGGCTCGCCATGCGTGTAAACGGCCTATTAGATATCTGCCCGTCAGTCTACTCAAGCTAACTTTGTTTCCCAATCCACTTGAAAGGTACAAACGTTGTGGTTACAACTGACGGTGACTAGTTTTGTGGGGAAGACATACCTACTCGGTAAAATAAACAAAATAACCGAGATGGATCAACTATCTACATTCAAGTTTGTTCAGAACCAGTTTTTTAAAATGAATTAGGGAAACATTAGAGTTTTATTACACATACATATTCACTTACATTCATCACTTCACGACCGAACGATGTTTCAGCCCAGTTTTCAGACTTGTTCAGCTTGTCACTGACAGTGCAGGGTGTCTCTTCAGAGCTGGAATATATAATTATATAAATTAGGGACACGAAATCAATAATTTGAATAACAGTTTAGATTTTTATTACCCTGTTTGGCTGTGAATGTTTATCAATAGATGTTTGATTTGTGTTAATAGTTATAAGAATAAAATTAACATAAACAGAATGTCGTGATCTTTGAGTTTAATTGTTCACGCAACGAATGTCTCACGATACCGAGAGTTTAGTTATAAGTACTTTGTGATGGAGGCTGGAGGCCTAAACATGCACAACAAAACGTCATTACTGCACATTATCTTGTTCACATTGATTTTAAAGCTTTTTCATGTTGGTTTAATGGCATTTTAATCATAAAATCTAGTGCCCCTTGCCCAGTTCCAAATTGATAGACAAAAACTCCCTCGGACTGTAGTATAATATGTGATCGACACTATTTACTAATTCAGAAAACAGTTATTTCTTTAGCACATGCCAGGTTTATACGCTATTTGAATTGCAGTCGCATATAAATGACGAAATCTGAAATCCTGCGTATAGGTTGTGGGGTCATCTAATTCAAGTAGGAAGCCTCTTAACACCGTCATTATATGTCTAAAATAACCTACAAACAAGTATCGTATTTCAACCATCTAACTTACATAGCTGCAGTGCGATTATAAATAATAACTTGAATAAGAAACTCTTCCGTTAGATATGTCTAATAATAATATGAGGAGCAAAATACGATTATATTTCTATCCTCAGATATGATGAAATGATAAGTAAATTTCTATTTGTACCTTTGTATGTTCAGGCTAATCCCAGGCAGAACGACAGAACGAGATTTCTTTATCATAATGAATTTTCCAATAAAAAACAGACTATTTTTAATTAATAAAACACTACACTACAACTGTGCAAATATTGTTTGTACCACATCGAGGGCGGCCCATGTCACTTTTATACTTTAAAATAAACAATTCACCATCTGCCATTTAAAGGTTTGCGTCGAAAGCTTAGGGGCGTGCTAAAGGAACAGATGTGTAACCGCCATTTGGTCTACTTTACGAGAAGACATGTGTATTATAGGCCTTTTGAATATTCGGATATTTAAGCCAAATAATGTTATACGAGTAGAAGCGGACGGTGGGTTTATTTTTAACGTTTACAGACCGTTACCACTCTTCTATCAGAGGTACAGAAAAAGGCATAGGTGTTTTTCATTTAGGCAAACTTCCCATTAATATCTAACTCATTTACGAAGCCTGCAGGCAAATGCTAGTAGTGTATAAAAAGCCCGAAATTCGTGTGTCAGGATCGCGGGTGTGTTTCTCAGATTGGGCTTATTGTAGTTATTTGGAACCTTATGTATACTACTTTTACGTACCTCTTATGAAAAACTGTGTACATATATATTATAGTATAGTATTATAGTATAGTAGTATGTTTAAAACACTAGGTACAACCGCCAAACCAGATGTCAGAACCGCGGGTGTACTGTCAACCAATATATGTAGCTTAGTACACTGTTTAAGTAGATTTGGTACCTCTTATGTACCTACAGAAACAAGTATTAAATAAATAAAATGCGATATGCTTTCTGGGAAAACAAAAAAAACTATATATGCTTTTGGTCTTTTAGTTATGGATTCGAACCCGCTACCTCTAAATCTAAGTCATCATCAGACATCACAGAAATAAAATACTGTGCATATAGCTTTACCGCTTGTATAGGTTTGCACTAAAGGGGCGAGGATTTTTTACTCGGGGCGCAACAAAGCCATTTATGTTCAGTTCAATTTTTTTGCGCTGTTTTTCTTCTTTCTTTTTTCAACTTTTAAGTATTAGCGACTATACCTATTATCCTCTCCTCTCGCATGTGACGCAGAGTGAAATGGAATCAGATACATGACAAAAATTAATAGTTCTAATGAAGTGTGACCCCTTTTTGAATTATATCTTCTTCGAAAAATTTGTCATATTTCTTAAATTTGGTAGAGTTGTGTATGAAATTTAACAATATTTTCGGACATCTGACACGCAACGCCATCTAGTGACTTATAGAATACTTTTATAGTTTTTTTGTAAGTACATACATATAATACATAGAAAACAACCTAACTTCGAAACAAATATTTGCATATCATACAAACATTTGGTCCTACCTAGGTAGACCTCAGCCGACTGACGTGTGCTCTAAATTGATAATATACGTATTTATTGTAATATTTATAATGACCTACATTTAATTAGAGACACAGGCTTCTACATGAGAATCGCTTTGAATAGTCCTCCATTATCTAATCGAATATTTAAATTCACAGCACTACTTTGTGACCTATTTATCACAACATTTGCCAACATGAATTAGACTGAAACAGCAAAACACATGATTATGCTGTCTATTCAAAACATGGGACATTTTTTGAGTAAAATAGCAAATTGTAGGAGTAGCGGTTATAACTTAACCGAGTAGGCCCCCATCAGATTTTACAATTTTGTCTCCAAATCAATACATGCCAATAGTTTATTTCTGTAGCAATATTTCTATTTGCATGGACTGTTTAGATGAACAGAAAAAACAGTTCAAAAAAGACAGTCTAAAATATACAGTTTGATTTACTTTATTCAGTTTTTTTCGTTCTTTGTTAGCCCAGTTATGTACCTTATTATGTAATTTTCTTTGCTTTATTAATTTCTCATACAACTAATTATCGATTAATTGTCGTGGGATGATTTTAGTTATTAAAATCGATTTGTACTAAATAGCTAAATCTGAACCAAACCATCAAACACATTACTGACAAATAAACAACATTCACAGCTAAACAGAAGGGTAATAAAAAACAGTACGATAGGATCAATAACTTTATTTCTATTAAAAAAAACGTAATTAATTAAGTTAATATTATCACAGACAACGTAATTTATAAAATACCTGAAAAAGATTCTTAAAACTAATTACCTACAAACGAACGTTAAATTACTGAGAATTAATAAGTATTTTGTCTTTTTCTATACTGTGTCATTAATTACAAACACATTAGAAGAAAACAAAACACTTTGAAACACCTATTGTGTAATAAGTAGAACTGAAATAACGAACTTTAAATAAAATGTATATATACTTAAATGAATGTATTCGTAATGGCAGTTTTTAAGTGATATACTTGCATTGATAACATAATTAATCTAATTAATACACTACAGATTTGAGAAAATCGTTACAGGTGCAATAGGCAATCTCAACTCAACTCTGATATCTGTGATCTTTTGACAGATATCTCTTGTGAGAAAACGGGGCCAATTGGCTTAGTTTAAAGATAGAGAGCTGTCAACTACTAACATCTCGATTATCTTGTCTTAAGCATGATTGAAATACATTTTATTACACGATAATAGTTATTGTATGCGTGTGTACCCTTGATCGCATTCAGTAAATAACAACTTAGTTGCTTTACAATTTAGAGTTAATAGTCACGCACATAAAGTCGCCTTTAAATCAAATCAAAAAATAAATTTGATTTGATTTGATTTAAACTGTGGCAGTGAGTATTAATTATGCATGTATGTATTCTGAGTTAAGTTCCGGAAAGCCCTAATATAATAACCTAGATATCGTAATTTTTGCTAACTACTCAATTGTTATTCAGATCTTGGTCAAGTATATACGTAGGTATTAATGGTTAGGTTTTAAAATGTATTTAATTTTCTAAAACCTATACGTCTGAGTTCCAAAAAGTTTTCTTGATGCCATCGAAATTATTTTGATTTACAGCAACTTAGCATACCGGTAAGTATGTTACAAGATACATTGCCACTATGACGCTTGATATTTCTTTTTGTCATGACGTAGTCCACAAAGTCCATTGTATAGAGATTAAATTGACCAATTGTTTTTCGTTTCCTACTCCTAATTAGTAACAAATATATTAGGTTTTACACTTACCACTAAGTAAGTATTTCAATTTCTGTAGTAACAAGATTTTTAAGGTGTACCGTCCACTGCAATGCATTAATAAATCCTACACATCTCATTAATAAATTACATACGTGCTTAATTCATGTATTAAAATTAAATTATTGATACGCTTCAGTGTATAATAGTAGATTTACCAAAAAACATTGATATGAAAAAGTAGCTACGTTTATATTCTTATAAGTAGTATTTCGCAATTTATTAAGTATACTGCTATGAATATATAATACTAAAATTTAATAATTTAATAGGCAACTGGCAGTCTTACTTCATGTAATTTTAAATCAGATGTATTAAGAAACCACACGAGGGGGGGGGTCGTCTACTCGTCTGTAGATGCCCCGAGGTATGTCGGGGCACCGGGGACTTCCTTTCTAGAGTATACCTGGTTCCCCGGCTATTAGTACCCGAGACGGCGTGCGGTTTTAGTCGGTTCGAGTCCGACATGCCACCGATAGGTGGTATCCGAGGGGATTTCCGCACGGAAAAAAAAAAAGGTGTATTAAGAAACAGAGTCCCCAATAAAATGGGATAATATTATGCTTCTACATATGTGAGTTTTAGCTGTCATTTTAGCCACCGGTTTTTTTTACTAGTAAATGTTGTACTTGTCACAAAAATTGTGATATGTCCCCGTGTACTTGCACCTTTGCACAGCCTTATGTCGGTTGCGACACATTGAAATGACTTGCGAATAAAGTACTTTAGTGTGAATGAACCTTTATTTATTTAATTGCTTTGCTTTAGAAGTCGTTCTTTCAAAGAAATGCATAGGGCTTTGAGGAAATGCAATGTGAAAAGGTTTTTATGAGCTCCCCTGACTTTCAAAGAAGCGAAAGAAGTGCGAATCTATAGGTATACTTTTAGTTTTTTTTTAGGAACGGGCGAGAACCATTAGTGTTCGCCATGCAAATCGTCTTGACCCAATAACGTCTGTACATTTGTTGCATACATAATTATGTTAGTTAGTTTGTGCTAAGGTTCATAATGAATTTCAAAATTTATATGTATTGAAGTTCAGATTTGGAATACGACTGTTTACATTGTGACTTATTATAGTTTCTGTGTAAATATGTACAGTAGTGATAGATTTATGACGTAGTATTAGCAATTATGATTCGTCGTTTAGTAGTCCAGTGCCAGGAGCATACACAAATATAACTTCGCTGATATTGGTTTAAAACAACCTGGAATTTAGTTAGTACTTAGTTCTAGCGCACATACTTTGTTCAGGAGTGTGAAATTTGCTACATAGCTTGGCTCTGACGGCCATGCAGTGTGGTGAAGTGTGAAGTGTTTTATTTTTAATGTAAATGAAGAACGTTTTAGTTCTGCGTGTGAATGACCTTTGAACATCGTGGAGTGATGAGGTAAATCCTTATCGTTTATATCGAGATGAGGCAGCAGTTTTGAAACTCCATACAAAAGTTCACTATTAGCAATCCAAGTTTTACTCATACTTAGGAAAACTAACGTTTAACACCAGAAAAAGCGTAAAAATACTAAAATTCTGTAGCATATTACCTACCAGTATCAATTTTTGTAAAAAGCAGGAACACGGGGGTGAAGATGATAATGAGGATGATTAGTTAAACAGAATACTACACTATTCAGGTTAGTAATTAGTTAATTATATTCAATAATAGTACTTACTAAAAAGGTCTCAAATTTTTTACACCTTTTAGAATAAATAAAAAAAGGACCTCTTTGATCTCCTAAGAGTTTAAGCTGCAGTTAATCAGTGTAGTCATAATAAATATATTTATATAACTATGTCAGATCATATATGGACACATTTTTATACCAGTTTTAATACCAGCAGTCAAATATATCAGTCAGTATACTTGTCTGAGTGATTTAGATTGTGTAAAAGTCTTATATTATAAGTAACTTGACATTTAAGATAAAAATGCGATACATGACCAATTAGATCAAAAACTGGGTACTTGTCAAAATCCTAACCACTAAAAAGTACACAATCATTACGAAAATACAAAATCAGTCGAATCACAATTTAGGCACGACTTAAATTCTTTTCCTTTTCTTTTCATTTCAATTTATTGTTACAAGTAAACGATTATTATCAAGGAATCCGTTTTAACCACCAATGTAAAGAGAGTGGAGTTGAGTTTAAATTCCTTTAGAGTTCAATTTTGCACAATCTGCATTATGCAACACAAAAGGTTTATGAATGCTAATATTTACACAATGAAAACATCATGTGAATACGTTTAAATTATGCGATAATTATCATGATTTCTGTAATCGCGTACACTTCAGTAATATTACTGGACATTTTATATTTAAGTATAGTTTATAATATTTCTATCATATATTATTGTGGTTTAGTAATAAAAGCTTGTGTATTTTGTGTTATTCCGTGCCTTCATGGACTTGAGTAAAGATAATCAGTCTGAGAGGAAAAGGGTGTATTATGAGAATACTTCTTCGAATATATTAGTCTAAGGAATATTCTTGTGATCAGATCTACGACTACCCGCGTTGCCACTACATCTTAATTTTGTTTCACACGAATCAGTAGATAACGTTTCATTTTAAAGATATCATTACGACAATTACCTACAAAGTTGCTGAATTTACTTAATAGCTTTAATGGAGACAGTACACAGGCAGAAAAGCTGACAAGTTGATTGAAGGTATTTTATCTAATAAACGGCATTTTAATGATCACAATCATTATAATACCCGCATGCATAATCTTTGTAATTGTTGCGAGATTTAATGTTACACTGCCAGTAAATACGAACCTGACTTACGACCTAGAAAATACAGCTTGCTGAACAATTTTGTATGTCTATATTTCATGATAAACTAATAGGAATATAAATATGGTTTTACTAGTTATAACCCGAGCAATTATTTGCTACATCAATATCGTCAACTAAGTTCTTATAAGAATGTTTAAACAACTCAACATAAGAGATGCATAACGTTCTTAATAGGAACCTTGTTCTCAAGAAATTATCGTCTTGCTATAAAATGCTATAGTCCATCAAAAAATGAGTACAACGCCATCTATTATTTAAATACCGTAATTAGAAACCTAAAAATTTAAATACAAAGGAAGAAAAATACGCATTCGAGCGTATAGTGCCCACACCTTGAGCCTCCGCATTCAGAATATTCCTCTTGAGTGTGTGATGTATCTGTTTCAATGTCTGATAAATGGGGGTATAAACTAGTTGGTTGTTGCAGAATAGCTCCGTTGGTTTGAGCTTCTTTTTTGTTATTGTTTACTTTTATTCTCTTAACATCATCCAGAACTGAAAGTACTACTGGTGAGTCTTGTGAGCCTGAAACAAAATATTACATTATATTATTTACACATAACCCATAGTTAACCTATTTCACAAGTTTATATCATGTGTTAACGTCTGCCCTATAGGTCAGTATCGATAAATATATGTCAAAATATACTAACTTCGTCTTTTAACAGGTTGTGATCCAATAACTTTATCGCCATCCTTTTCAGTCTCTTTGTCATTTAAAACCAGCTGCGACTTGCTCTTTTCGTCGTAGTTAACCTTAGGAATGTTGGCAATGATCTCCGGCTTTTTGGTAGATTGCGAGAGGCTCATTGTACTGCCCATGAGTGGCGCCTTCTCTGACGGGTCATGTTCACTCGTGTCATCATCAGAATCGTTTGCGTTGTCTGGTTTTTGTTGTTTTGTTGGCTGAAAATAAACAAAGAGACGAAAGTATAAAATATGTAACTATTGTTAGATTGAGCCGTGTTGTGCTGAAATGATCCAATCCGCAAACTGGCTAAACCTGAACCATTAATGATAAGCCATCAAATATTGTATTTATTGTATAATTTGTATTTATAATCTGTCTAGAAAACCATTTTTTTATTAATTATTAGCGTTCGGCTCTAGCTTCGCACGGATGTAAATACTCGGATATCGTTTTGAAGTATCTCTCTGTTTGGCCGACATAGCCTGTCTATGCTATTATCTATTTAAATGAAAGTTAGTTAGCTTTTATTATAGATTCTTCCTTGAAAAATTATAAAACTGACTTTGAAAACAGCTTAGCAGATAAAAAATAGTGATGTGGTAAACGTTTAGAGGATAAACAACGACACAGTTAAATTTACCAGTGTTTATTTTCCTTCACGAGCTTTTTCTAGAAGTTTTGTTATGCTGCAATATATAATAATATCACCAATGGTCTTTGTTGATATCTTGGCTTAAAACGATAATTATTGTAATTAACATTTTCCTAATTGCGATAAATCTACTAAGCGTGTTTTTTTCTATTTATAAAGAGATTTTTTGAAGCACAAATACAAATATAGTAATTCTAATCATGGGCGCATTAAGAAGTAGTTATAGACTAGCTAAGGATCCAATTGTGTCCAATTTTGCATTGGTACGGAAACTTGATCTAGACACAAATGTGACACTATTGCTCGATGTATGTTCCAAGCCGAAAAAAATCCTAACAATTGATTTTATCCAAAAATTCTCGCCTTTTTGTAGATTTAGTCAATCATCAAAACGATTCAAGATTCAATATGTTTTGAGGATCGAATAAATATTAAATGTGTTTAAGGATAAAAAATGAAGTTACATTCAAAATAATAATATTATTTAGAATAAATTTGTTTTATTACTCATTATTACGACTTTTAATACTGCTTAAGTTAATATACTCAAAATACAGTACCCAGGTTGAACTACCTACCTAGGTACTAGGCACTACCTACAACTATAAATTTATATTTTTATTTTGGTGTTTTAAGATATAGAACTATGAACCTACAAAGTAAAGAAAGTAGCAAGCAAACCAACGCAACTGATATTTTAAGTCAAATGTAGGTACGCCCTTACCCTTAAAAGGCAGCCGTTGCGAAATATCGTGTTGTAGACATAAGTACACAATGTTTGCTAATTTGTATTGTTCTTGAGTGTACTTGTAATACGCAGAATAATGTATGAAGTAACTACACTTAATTAGCGAATGATTGAAAACGCAACGTTTTTAACATACCATTGTTATTATGTATTTGTTATGAAATTTTGAATACACCAAAACGTAGAAACCAATATCAGCTTAATTACGCAAAAACAGTTTTTTTTAATTGACTGCTGCATAACAATAATAAATATTTCTTTTATTATTTCTATTTAGTACCCCACTTATGCTTATAAACATATACTTCTTTACAACAACAGCCTTTAACAGTCCACTGCTAGACATAGGCCTCTCCTTAGAAAGGAAGTTTTGGCCTACTATACCACGCTGGCCAGACGGGTTGATATAGGGTTTGTTTCAAGTTTTCCTTCTCTTTGCAGTGCTGTTGTCCTGCGTAGTTTGCTCCCTTAGTCTCTTACGACACCCACGGGATGAACAGGGGTGGTGACACTCCGTATTCTTAATCCGTCACCTCACGGATATACTTCTTTACCATTTAATAAGTGCAGAGTTCAAACGAGCTAATTTTTAGAACTATTCTCCAGATTTAAAACGTATCGTTCCTTTACCAAGAGTCTAGAGTATTTAATGAAAAGGGTTAGGGGTTATGTATATAATTTGTAACACTATCTTAATGGTTTACTGACTACCACTTGTTGGAACATTCACTATTAACTTTACATAAGTATAAGTAAGACGTTTTACCAAATTTTTCTGTTTTTTCTATATCATACTTATATCTTGATAAACTTAAGGTGTCGCCTTTAATGCCAATATAACACCGTTACATGTAAGGTCTTTACCTTACAACTTGCTCATAACATCTGTTTGAACTTATATAGGAAACTTGTTCAACGCCCTTCTCAAATATAATCTTATTCTCAACTTCAATGAACATGACGTGATTTTCATTTGAGTGTGGATTTATTCATTTGGAGCGTTGCGTCATTCCATTTTTTTATTCCATTAAAGCAAATACAGTCTGTGCTCAACTACTATCACTAATTATCCATGTACGCATTATAACGTTAATCAAGAATATAAAAAGTTATGTATATGATCAGCAGGTTGACCGAAAATACTTAAGTTGTCATGCTGGACAAATTCTCATTCATCTCTATTCAAAAATAATTTGCCATTAGGCCTAACAGTAGGGGAGCCCATGTTACGAAATGGGGATTTACTCGAGCGTCATGGGGACCTATTGCATCTGAAAGAGTAGGTAATAGAATGAATAAAAGTCATGTAATGTTTCCACTTTCAGAGATGGAAAAAGCTTCTACAGGTTTTCAAGAATGTAAGGGGAGGAAATCGAAAAAAAATTCAGATGTTTCGGGGATATATTATTTAGCCTCCAAAAAATGCTCCCATTGAAAGGTCTGGCGATTTTAAAGTGACACAAGCTAGTAGCGGATTATGGAAAATGCAAACTGCAAATTTTAAGAATCGCCAATGCGAAATACCTGACCGTATTGGATTTTATACAGACGATTCACCTTTATGTTCCTGTCACACTAGCGAAAAACCCGGCGATAGTTTTGAAGGGTATTTTAAATCTGACGGTTTGAAATATTTTGAATTTTTTATAAAATGTGACAAATAAAGACACGAAAACTTATGTAGACATTTAAAAAAGTTTTTTTCCATTATTTGCTTCAAAATAAAAAAAGAAATGTCAGTCATGACTTTTTTTTTAATTAGTGCCCCTCCCACTGCTTTATGTATGTCTGATTTTTTTTAATACACACACAATACATACAATGTGCATGTAATTGACTCAACTGACCTTAAACTTACACGCTCGAGTATTTCTGGCCATCGTTTCTTGTTACTAATCTTATGGGTTGCCCTAGACGATCCCTCCTATATGTAGGGCTCATGCATAGTGGAGGTACTCAACTGGGTGTAAGGTATTCCTCTTATGTTAACCTGCCACGCTCGGTAAATCCCGAAATCCCTTCTGGTGCTCCTCTACTATAAATACAAAAGAATACTAAACCTCAACTAGCGGAGTATGAAATTTGTTTTGTTGTTCAAACAATACGCGAATATTGAGAACTCAGAGGTGTTAGCCCAAAACGGTGTAAGGTGAATCATGTAGGTAATTGGCGAAACAGTTGGGCCTTATGTCAACATTGCCGCCATTCGTGACCCTCCACATATTTTATATTTGTTTTAAGTAGTTTAACAATGTTGTGTTATTCACGATTTTTATCGTTTCTTAGAAAACACGGTATATTCATATTTCCAATTATTGTTCACATTATTGCGACGTATTTTAATTTATTGCGTAGTTCTTGCGTGGAAAAGATTTGTATCCATCAATATCATAACTGTAACCGGTATAGTCTACGAATATAATCTATACAAATAAATAAAATTGGAGTGTCTGCTTGTAATATTAAAATAACCGCTTTTTACTAAATGCATATGTATGTTTACATATGCCAAAATAACATTTTTTACAATTTTTGTCTGTCTGATTGTCTGTCTGTCTGTCTGTTTGTTCCGGGTAATCTCTGGAACGGCTGGAACGATTTCGACAGGACTTTCACTGGCAGATAGCTGATGCCATAAGGAGTAACTTAGGCTACTTTTTTTAGACTAGCTTCGCCCCGCGGCGTTGCCTGCGGTTATAACAACAAACGCGGGTAACACCGCGGGTCTCAGCTAGTTAGATATACATCTTTTAAGTTCTGATCGCTGCAAGTTTCCTCACTAGTGCACAGGATGAGGAGCCGAAATTATGCCAGCTATTTTGAAATACCTTACCCCAGGGTAACACACTCAAGTTCAATCTACTGTTCTACTAAGATTTCGCGTCACCACAGATAGATATTTACAGTATTTGTCTTACACCTCATTTAGTTGTGGTGTCGCCGAGCGGTATTTTAATGTCCCCAGTACGTGATCGCGAGATCGTCTCTGAAACCGTTGCGGTTTAGCAATGCTAAATATAACTTCTTGACAAAATAAATCAAAAGTCCGTTGTTAAAATAACTCATTGCACAAATGCTATTAATATTATTATATTTAAGATTCGTATTTCAATACTGTGAAAATATTGACTAAAACTAGTCAATATTTATGTTTTAATGGTGTAAGTAGGAGTGAGCCAGGAACAAACAGACCCGTGAACAAGATCGCTTCAGCTTGATTCTCTAAAGTATGGAGAATAAAAACTACTTTTTTACTTAAATCTTAAATGGAGAGGTTTTACAGTTATGAGAGTTAAATCAAGTTAATATATATATTGACTTGTATTAACTCTCTCATAACTGTGCGTAAAATAGTAGGGCGACATGATATTTCTGCCGTCTATACTTGACCACTTATCTACGAGGGGTGATCAATAAGTAATGATAATCGAGTATTTCTAGAAGGCACAAAAACCCAAATTATTTTTTTTCTGCTTGCTTATATATCCACTACTTCAGCTTCAAAAAAATGTATAAATAGGACACCATTACCGGGAGATACATTCATTTGAATACGAACTGTCGAAGAGAAAACATCAAAATGGAGAAAAATGAAATAAGAGCTGTCATCAAGTACCTCTGCCTGAAAAAAATGTCTACCAAAGACATACACAGCGACTTAGAGGAAACATTGGGGGAGTCTGCTCCTCCATATTCCACAGTCGCACGCTGGGCAAAGGAATTTAAGCTGGGCAGAACCTCCACTGAAGATGAACATCGCGAGGGACGCCCTTCCACGCCCCTTACTGGAGAAAACGTCAAAAAAGTGGAAGATATCGTGTTGGCCGATCGAAGGGTGACCGTAAGGCATGTAGCTGAGATCACAGGGATCTCCTATGGCAGCGTTCAAAAAATCATTGTCAACAAAATGCATATGAAAAAGGTCTCTGCGCGTTGGGTACCGAGAATGTTAACCGACGAGCAAAAAAAGAAACGAGTCGACATTTCGAGGGTGAATCTTCAAAAGTTCCAGGCCGATAAAGAATTTTTTTTGTCGCGTTTTGTGACCATGGACGAGACCTGGATCCACCACTTTGATCTCGAAACCAAACAACAATCAATGACTTGGAAACGAGCTTCCTCACTAACGCCGAAGAAATTCAAAGTGTCAAGTTCAGCGGGAAAGGTTATGGCGTCTGTTTTCTGGGATGCAGAAGGAATTATTATGGTGGAATATTTGGAAAAGGGGGCCACTATAACAGGCTCTTACTACGCAGGCCAAATAAGAAGATTGCGAGAAGCTATTAAGTCAAAAAGACGCGGTAAACTGCGCGCTGGAGTGCTGTTTCACCAAGACGGCTTTGTGAGCCGGGGGGCTCACAAAGCCGCAGTTGCGATGGCTGCCATTGAAGAAACGGGGTTCGAACTGCTCGAACACCCTCCCTATTCGCCAGATCTAGCTCCCAGTGACTTCTACCTCTTTCCTCGGCTCAAAGAACACCTCCGGGGCAACAAATTTGAGGACAATAGTGAAGTGATGGCCGCAGTAGAGGCATTTTGGGAGGGTCAAGACAAAGATTTTTTTTCTAAGGGAATCATGGGCTTAGAAAAAAGATACACTAAATGTATTAACTTGCAAGGAGACTATGTTGAAAAATAAAATACTTTTTTTAATCTAATAGTTCTTTTTCATATTGATTATCATTACTTATTGATCACCCCTCGTAACAGCTTACGATTCCAGATTTCAATGGATTGTCTTTCGTTCATTTGTTTTATTTATGACAACCTATTCGGGAGGGGATATTTGTAGAATATATTTAAATCATAATACGCTTATAAGCTTTAAGCAAGTTTTAAATATACGACAACAGTTTTTAATAATCGAGAGAAAAGGAATCTATGTTTGGAATACTAATAAAGAAAGATGTGGGAGAGAGGGGTAATTTTTAAGGGTTTATATACAAAATTAGAACCAAGTCACGCTCTCAACGTAATCTCCTTAAGAGATTTTCTAGGGAATGTATTTTTTTAGTCTTTTTTATCAGTACGAATCCCACCCACGATTCATGTATATTTATGATGCTGACACAAAAATAAACTCAATTTGTCAGATTAGAAATGCATTTGTGGTAGTGTATCAACACTTGTAATAATAAACGTTTTGCACGTTGCAAATAATAAATGTTTTGCACGTTGTGAACTTAAGCGCAGCCTGTTTTGTACCTTACTTTACGAATGAAGAGGCACTGTACGAAGAAAAAAAAAATGTGCTAAACTTATTCTAAACTGATAACAACACAAATATTTATATTAAATTCAGATCTAAACGAAAAAAAATCCGGTGGTATTATGGCCGGTATTTGACATTTTACTCGTAAAGTGAAACGAATAACTCTAAACCGCAATGTCTCAACCTAATCAACCAAGTCGCCAGTACCTATTAAACATTCATTTCGCAAACATTCTATAACCATGCAACGATTAAGTATTTTAAATTCAACTTACCTTATAATGGAACCTGTTATTAAGCATCTCCATCTCTTTCTCCCTTTCTTGTTTAAACTTATTTGCGATAGTAGATTCACTAATCGTTTGTTCTTTACTGAACAATGCAGCTAGTTTGCCTTTGATACCCCCTCCGAGTGAACTTTGACTTATGTTGTCATCAGGAATATCATCTTTTGAATTAGTTCTTGAGTTCGCTAAGGAGTTTACTTTAGTTGGTGTTGTCTTTTGGGTCAATGACTTCTTGTCTGAAAACGACGTACAAAATGAGTTGGTTGAAGGTTATAAAGTACTTATGTGTCAACAAAGAAGGTTCTTTTTACTGCGTTTGTGTATTGTGTTTTAGAGAAATAAAAACATTTGATAGAACACGTTTACGGGGGCTGCATTTTGCTGTGATCAATAAATTTAAGATTTAAAAAAATAATAGAGATGTTATACAATAAGGCTTTTGGAGTTGCAAGCAGACTTACATTGAAAACAACTACGGTGTCTTGCTATGTTCGTCAGAGACTTGTTAAATAACTAAATAAAAATACTATACCTAAGTTATTTTCAAATCATGTAGGTCTAAATGTTTATATTCATCAAAGTATATAAATTTAGACAGAAATTATATTTCTGTTCTTTAAAGACTATAAAGCTCATTTTTCACACTCGAATCCAAATGAACTAAAGGTTTAAGTTTAAGAATTTATTTCTGATTATTATATACATTAAATAAAGTGGTACACCAAAACAAAAGTTTTTTCTTGGCGGGATCTTATTAAGAGTTGTGTGAATCAGTAAACGAGAAGTAAATAGGTGATGTAAAACAGTGACTTTATCGGCACAGCTGTCACGAGAGAAGTTTTTAATTGTCCAGGTTAACGAGAGGAACCTTGGCTACACATCTGTTGTTTTACAGATCAAATCAATCGAATAATTTGTACTGATTGATATTATCGGTATACATTTTATCGAATTGACTGCTTAATCGAATAATATGGGACCAATATCTGATTATCGGAGTTTGCGAATAGCGATAACTTGTTTTTTCAAATGATGATCTTTCAGTTCAACTAAAGATCTATCAGGTGTAAACTAACTTTATGTTTTACAAAGTCGACGAAATAAGTTTCGTGAGTCAGTAACTAACTAGGTCAGATATACTAGATATCGAGTTTTCGCGGATGTTATACAATTTGTTGTCAACTTTCCAAAGTATTCTCACTAAGTGGTACTATAAAATACGCACTTACTTGATTTTTCTGAATTTCTAAGTAAACTTCTGTACAACAACAGACAAGCGTACTATCGAAGCATCGACTAAGGCCGCTTATACCACTAATGATAGATTTTACATTAAGAAAGTCAATTTAAATGGTCAATGTTCTGTAAGCTAAGCGTTTATTTTACAAAAGATTGTGTCAGGCAGGAGACACTTTTACAGGCAGGTAGCTTCACCCCTAATAAAAGGTTATCTGTTAACTGAAAAACTAGTAGAGCGCTACCGAAACATACACTAAAGTAAAACTAATTAATAAGCATATACTTCAAACTCATGATTGCAATAAGCTCTTGAACTACATATATTTATATTTTGTGTTATAAATGTATATGTAAAGTTATTGAGTGGTTTTCCATTACATAACCATAATCGTTGTGTTATTCAAACAAAAAATATGTTAATGAACAAAAAACCATAACGCTTTTAATGGTTTTTATTTTTGTTTCCTTATTTTATGATGCAACTGGTTTTCACATAATAAAATTAAAAGGTAAACATAACTGTGAGTCATCGCCTAATATCCTTGACAATTTATATTTTCTAACTAATTAATTTTAAGAAAATACTGCGGCATAACTACTGAAACTATTGCAATTTTGGTATTCTTGTAAAGACGGAAACTTTAATGGCCCTGAATTGTTTTATGACGGACATTAAAGACTGAAAATACGTTGATATAAGCCTAAATTGTCAATTCAAACTGTTGATAAGGGGCATAACGTAAAATGTCGAAAAATATCAAAATTCGATAATTAATTGTTCTTTGCAATTACAAGAACAGAAGGGACATCATTTTATCAAATTTTAAGATTTTAAAATTGAGCAAAAATAGAGAATTATAATTTTTTATCAATGGCTGTTATATTAAAAAATAAAGGTTTCAACCATTACATCAAAACGTATGACATAAACTTATGGTTAAATATAATGTTATGTACAAAAATTGTACTTTAAAACATATTTTTACCTTTGATTCAATTTTAATCTTCCTTTGATCAAACACTATCATTTGGTAATTTCTGGTCACAAAATTAGAATGAAGTATTTGCACAAAGAACGTTTAGAACGACCACAACACGATCACGATAATCGAAAAAAAAAGCTTTATCTAAGGTGGTCTAACTTGCGTTGAGCGAGCGCATGGAATGACCATCGACGCGGATCACCAACCATTGGTTTGGTCCACCTCTACTCGAGCTAGTGATGTGCGCTTCCGAATCCCACACCCGCGACAGAGGTACTAAACCTTTTGTGACAATTTACATAGTGACAAAAGACTCTCGTAGAATGTAACGCCTCAATGGTTTCCTATTCCGCTTGGTTCGGCTCACTGATTACAGTATTAAAGAGCTATCAATTTATGCACAGCGTGGCGCTTTCATCTTAACTCTTTTACTGTTTCAAACTTACGGAAGCAATAAATAGCGATCAGTTTATTTTTTTAAATAGGACGGTTTCAGAAATAAATATAACTGATGCAGAATTTTTAAGTGGTATAGACTTACGACTTGTAATGTGAAATATTGTTTTGAGAAGTAATTCTAGAAATAAAAAGAAACGCAGTCGTGAAAAATGACAACAAAGATAAAAACGTCAATCATCAATGTTCTTTTTTTTTTTTCTTAATGGAAGAGGGGCAAAAGAGCAGACGGGTCACTTGATGCCAAGTGACTACCGCCGCCTACAACGTCTGTAACTCGGCACTCGCGTTGTCGGCATTTGAGGAATAAGTACGCTCTTTTCTTTAAGGTTTGAATCGGCCGGGTCGTATCGGCCCGAAAATAAAGCATATCATAACTCTCAATTTCATAAAAATAGATTTCCTTAGAAAACCGCTTATTTTTCAATGGACACCTATATCGTTTTAAATTTATGTATGAATGCGAAATTATTCTCCCACCTAACTTTATTTGGTTTCAATATTCACCGGTACAAAACGTGTAAGTCAAGGGCCTCTTTGTAACTCATCTGCGGAGTCAAGGTTGACGGCGCCTGCTCGCTTGCCTTGCTCGCAGCCTACTTAGTGACGTCGCATCACTTAATTTCGGTTACAGTAGCACGTTTGTTTCTCAACACTACGAAAGTACTATTCTGAAGTAACGTTTTACGTTAATTGTATTTTTAACGTTCAGTTTCGAACATGAAAACTTATGACGTAATTTATTGCTCTTTGTTACAGTTTCAGCAGTTCTCAATTTCTGCTAGAGGTCCTTGACTGAATAAACGGGTCATACAAAATAAAACAATTCTCAGCAGTAAGGCACAGTTTTGAAATTATGCCCAATTAGTTTTAAAACGAGAACTAAAGACAGTACCTATTAATAGTAATTTTCTAATAAAATATCCCTCTGGTACCGTCAGTAATAAACATTAAAAAAATAGGTACTTACGGATGTAGCAATTACTTCAAAAGATTTTTTTTTTATTAATATTTTTATTATGGTTGTTATTTATTTGGTTTTGGATGGCATTAAACGTGACAAAATGTTATCGAACAAAGCTGTATCGACTACCCTTGTTTCCTCTACACTCACAATACTGTCACTTCTAAAAAGTAGGATAAAATTAGAAGTGAATAATAAATAATGACACGTCTTTAGGTAGAAGCTGCATCTCTGGAAAACCGCGAGAAATGTAAACAAGACTGGGATCACATAGCAGCTTAGTAAGCGCGGTGGGCACTTTTGCAGGTTCTAATGTTGAATTAATTATTGATATCATTAATTTCATTAGTATTATATAAGTCCGAGTACAAGGGTAATTGCAGGTGCTAGGTGGTGGTAAAGAGATTTGATAGCCTCTTTTGAAATTGGGATGCGCTTGTGGACTTCAATTGTTATTCCAATACATATAAAAGTAACAGATATTATTGTTTATTTGAAACCAATAGCAATAGGATTTCTTGTAATATTGAAAAAGCACAAATATGTAAAATGCACGCTACAAAATTCAAATGAAATTCAATAAATGTTGACATTTGCAAGTTGCAATAAACGCTTTTCGAACTGTATTGGACAAACTACAGACAGTTTACATAAAGATCAACTGCCATCTACCGAGGCTTTGATGCGTCTGCAGGGACGAAGTCGTGGAACACGTGGTAATAGTTACCTATCTAAGGATAACGACCGCGCATTCTTTAACCAAGCAGATGGGTTGACCTGAACGATCCTAACTATTACGTTATTCCCAATATGTCTAAATTATTCCAAGTTAAAAAAACTGTATTTTTTTATCAGGCAGTAGCAAGTATCTATTCTATGTAGGTTAATTACTTCATAATACAAGATACAACTTGATCATGAAAAATTTATAATTTTGGATAAGGGGTATACTTAGGTTGTTAATACTATGGAACAAAAAGTGAAAAGGAATAAAGCTTTATAAAAGGCCGGTAAAGGCTTTCTATGAGATTAGTTGTTTTTATATAAACTTGTCACACATATTTTGCATAATACAAAACTCAAGTAATAAATAAAATTGTTACATACAACTTAAAGTACATTTGTAAATATAAAATGTTTTATCTTAAAGATTATCAGACCGCAGGCCTCTAGACTGACCCTGACCATTAAAGCTGTTTAAAGCAGGACGTTTACACGAGGATAAAACCTGTATACGATATATAAAGTCATTCTTTATACGAAAGCTTGTCGGCTTTTCTTATTCTGAGAACTTTGCCAGGAACAACTAAGAGGTTTATAACCGAATGTGTTATGACAAAAAATATTTGTTTATGACGCAGAGTAACGCTTATGAAAGAAAAAAGGTATCATCACCTTTTTAGGGTGTGTTCTGGAGGTCAGGAATAGCGACGCGAATTAAGCGGAACCAACTGTGCTGTATAGGTCCAATATCATTAGAGGAAGCTCGTGAGGTACGTTATGGATGAAAGCAAGTGGCAGGCTGTTCTCTTTACTCACGCTGAAGTGAGAAGGGCCTCAGATTTTTGTAGGGTAATAGTTGAGTGAGGATGTT